GCGCTGGCCGAGGCTCCCAGCTCCGCGCCGGGGCCGCACTGCCGGGGACCTCGCGGCCGCCGCAACTCTGCTGGAAAGTTCAATCATTCAACTCCAGCCCCCCGCCCTCCCCGCCGACCTCCCTCCCGGCTCGGCCTCGAGGGGTGGGGTGAGGGTGACAGGCGGCCGCGCCATTGGCTGGAAGGAAAGTGAGTGACAGGGGGGCCGGGCGGAGGGCCGTGGGCAGGTCCAAGGGGCTCCCCGGCCCTGCAGTCAAGGGGAGGGCGGGTCCCCACGCTGCGCCTGTCTCCTGGTGGTCCGACGCCCAGCCCACGCCGGCACCTCTACGGACTGCATTCGCTCCGTCTCACCCGCACCTCGCCCCATCACCCAGGTAAACGTCAGGTGTGAGCCAGCCCGGGGCTGGGATGTGAGGTGCTGTCTTGGGAAGGAGGGCCTCGGGACCCCCAAAGGGCGTCAGAACTGCCTAAGGAAGGACCGAGCGCCCTAAAGTTATAGGCTGGCTCCCCAGTTTCTACCCCCGGTCCCAGCTTCGCTCATACTTTAGCATATTTGAATTTCCTTTTTCCCAAGTAGCGGAAAGGAGCTAAGTAACACAACTGAAATGGCTATGAGGCGGGACAGAGGCCAGGCAGGGACATTCGGCTGACATTTTCCTCCTCCTTCTCTCCCTCCCCATTCCTTCTCTCCTTCCTTCTCCCTCCCTTCTTTCCATCTTATTATCTGGGATATCTTCTTCTTATCTTATTATCTCTGAGTACTTAGCTAGTGACATTTGTTAATTAGACCCACACACGTTGCTTCCTCAGGTGTCTGTTTTTCTAGGAAGCACTGTGAGTTATTGAAAACAGAAATCTTTCCTAAACTCTTTCTGTCCCTTGTATGTGCCCCACGCCTCTTGATTCAGCCTTCCGAGCAGTGAAATTGCCAGCCCGTCGTCTCTTGTACTCTTTTCCAATGCTCTTTCTGCACACATGTTCTCCTCCACAGTGGAGGCCACGCCAGAGAAAGAGACACCGCTGCGTTTCTACGACACCATCTGTAATAAAGCTTTATGCTCCCCTGAGCTCCACTGGGAGGTGACAGTGCTCCAGCCCTGCTGCTGGTAGGAGACCCCAGAGAGGGCTGGGATGTGGTCATGAAGGCTGTGCTTCTGGCATGGGGATATTTATGTAACACAGTCCAGTCCAAAAGACTCAAGCACACTCACACTTGGATGCGGAACAACTAACTGGTAGTCCTGTGCACTGACACCTCCACATTCTCATACAGAACAGCACTCACACATTCCAAAACATCGCACCGCCATACACACACAACCAAGCACAGCAGAGTGGCTAGATGCACTCAATCTGCTCGGAAATCCATCACAAAGCTTGACCCCTCTTTGCGTACAGTCGATGGCTCTTTCCAATTTCCAGCCCGCTCTCCCCAGTCTTCTGCACACTTTCCACTCTGCGATTTGGGGATCTTCCTGTTAAATTATAATAACAACCATCTACAGTTATCCTATTATACCTATGATTCTTTTTCAAGTACCTCATCTTATGTATATATTTCTTCACCTAGGTAAGACAGCAAGGCCAATAGATTTAATTTCTTAATGTGTTTCTCGATGAATTAAAAAAATCAGAGTTGTCTTGTTCAAAGGTTCTGTAGGCAGAGCCGGCTTCATGGGTGTGCAACCTGTACACTTGTACAGAGCCCCATCTTAGAAGGATCCACGCTTGGTTTAGTGTTCATCTGTTACCATCTTGATTTTAATTTTGAACAAGTTTCAAATTATGTAGCCAGCCGGATCTGTAGGTTTTAGCGTGACAATTCTACATGTGAGCCGGAAACATAAAAAATTTAGGGATGAGCTCAGTAATTTGTTTAAAAGATACTCAGAATTGCAAATGGAAGTCTTTTCTAAGAATGTTAAACATACTTAATATTGACTAAGAGGCAAGAAGCTACTCGTTGTGACCCCAATGGGAAGGTGTATAAAGCCTTGTGTCAATGAGTCACATCTGAATCCAGGGATTGTCTTCTGAATGTTATCACTTTCATTTGGGAATTACTAAAAACATTTCCAAAAGCTGTAGTGGATCCTTCCACAGTGCTTGCTAGAGTTTTAAAGTTAAGCAAATACCTGGTCTTGGTGAAGGCAAGGATATTATGGCTGCCTGCATTTTCTTTGATTTATGACCTCACATGTCATATCATGAGATTTATACTCTAGACAGAAATCATCAGGACAAGCATGCTGAGCTTTTAAAAATAGCTTTTAAACGTTCAAAGGGATCACTGTATTTTTTTTAAAAAGCAACGTGTGTGCTACTTATATGGGTTCCATAGCATATTCATTTCCATGAATAAATGCATTTTACAGTAAACCACAAAAGAGAACATCTAGTCAGTTGAACAGAAAGCTTGGGATTAAAGGTATCGGGCCACCTTATTATGCATATGTTAGAATAATACTAGCAGTTATATTGCTTTCTTCTTTTAGAATTAGCACAGACATCCTCTGTGATTATGCCAGCCTTTTTCATGTTATTTATTTTCATTGCAGTTTGAAGTAACTTTTAAAAGGAAAACATTTTGATAAAGTCAGAATAACAGTTGAAATCTGGTTTTTTATTCTGCTCACATCCACCCAGTTGATTATGCAGCTCACCCTGCGAGTTGGCACACAGACACTCTCAACTTTTCATGGGAGTGGTGAAGCCACACCCTAAGTTCATGACAACCAGCCACAGGAGAGGAGAACCACAAGTGCGTATAGAAAGAATGATGGATAAATGGATGGGTGGAATCGTCCAGGTACGTTAGTGAGAAAGGCCTTAGCATATCTTTCCTCAAAGTCAACTTGACCCCCATGGTCTGAATTTGTCAGAGAGAAATGGAGAAGAAGTGAACCTCAGATTGACTTTAGTTTGACTTAAACAGACAAAACACCTATCTCTTAAGGAGAGTAGAAAAGGGCCTTATTGACTCTTATTTCTATGTAAACAGAGATAGACCAAATGTGTGGCCCGTCTTTTTTTTTTTTTTTTTGTGAGGAAGATTAGCTTTGAGCTAACATCTGTTGCCAATCCTTCTCTTTTTGCTGAGGAAGATTGGCCCTGGGCTAACATCTGTGCCCATCTTCCTCTACTTGATATGTGGGACACCGCCATAGCATGGCTTGATAAGCAGTGCCTAGGTCCGCACCCGGGGTCGGAACCTGCGAACCCCGGGCTGCCAAAGTGAAGTGCACGAACTTAACCACTACGCCACCGGGGAAGGCCCCATGTGGCCCGTCTTGGTCAGGGTATAGAGGAAACACACAAAACAAGGCCCTCATTCATAGTTTCCAGAAAGTTACCTATGCTCTTCCTTGCAATGTATTTAGGTTGTTAGTTTCTTCTTCTTTCTTTACTTTTTATTTTAGCAGAGAATAAGAAGCCCCCTGGGAAGCTTGCTAAAGGTGTACTCCAGGACTCCATGTTCAGAGATTCTGGGTCAGTCTATCTGGGGTAGGACGCTGGGATCTCAACTTTTAAACAGCATCTCAGGCGATTCCATAGCAAGTGAATCAGGGACAGGTTTGACAGATCATTGATTTAGAAAACATATAGCCCATTAAAAATGGAGCAGACACTTTGATTTCAATAGCAGCTATGACATCATTTTGTTTCAAGTACCTTTTTTAGGTATGTGTGTTGATATGGATTTGATGCACCAATCCATTTCTTAATAACCACATTGATATATTTTTTCCAATGCATTTAGCCAAGACACTCTTAGACTCATTTTTGGTGGGGCTAGCGGCTTGTCTTTGTAAAGGCTTTCCAGCTACATTTGATTAGGATAAACTACAAAGGAAGTAAGCATAATATCTCTGTGATATGCTCCTCTTGGAAAAGCAAATTGAGAACTCTCTCTAAAACTGGAGAAGACCAATATTTTAATTTGATGGCATTTATGAGTCTTAAATTGAACGTGGCCCCTGGTCATTGGCTATGGGTGTAGAGGACAATGAAGTGAGGGGCGAGAACTCACATATGAGGTGCAGTTTTCTTTTAATGGCTTTCATTTGGTGATGCAATAACATACATCTTCTCTCAGAAATTGCAATTAACTTCTGGAAAAGAAAATGCGAGAAAACCAAGAAGTATGCCCTGCTAGGGCCTCGGACCATACTCACCACTACATTTCCACGCTAAGTTGTCAGAATTTGGTAGCCAGACTCTTCTAAAGCTCTTCTTTAACTGTACTTTCCTTCTCCTCCAGACTTAATTCTCTTCTGCTCAGCTTTACTGCATGATCCAGGGAATACCAAAAGAGCTTTTGAGAGAATAAGAAATAGTGAAATGAGGAGCTTAGGATGCAGTTAACAACTGAATGGATAAATATCAGATTTGCATTTTTTGTAATATGATTTGAGGCAGGGATGGGGTGAACCTCTATGGTACTGTAGCAATCTTCTCTCTGATGGCAAATTTAATCATTTTACAAGTGAAAATTATAGTTTTTGCATTGGGTCATTGAATATACAATCTATTTTCAGAAGAAAAACCCACATCCATTTGCAATCACCTCTTTCTTTTATCATCTTGCAATATAGACATCCTATTTGGGGATAATGTTAGCGTGCGACACATTTTCTTCTTCGATGAGATTATAAAAATTCAGTTCTATATACAAGTTTAAAGGTATTAGTTTTATTAATCACCTCGATATTTACTAAGATTTTACCAAGAAGCATCAGAAATGTGTTTGCTGTTACTTTTATGCACTAAAGAATATTTCAGTGAAATTTTAAAACTCTTTTGGCAACATATGCAAAGAACTGTCAAATACAATTTCAAGCTACTTCTACTTTTCAACAATTTGTCTCCTTGCCTTTTTCCCTCTCCTCCCCCAAAGTCCC